CCGCCGCCACCCCTCCCCATCCTTGGTCCCGGCAATGGCCTTTGCATCGCCCGGTGCGCTTGTGACTGACTTGGACCCGCAATATTAAGACCCACTAGCTTCGTCCCCATCCCGGCGGCACCGACTCCTTCGGGCTCCTACCTGCTGCCCTTCTGCACCCTGCCGCCTCGGGGGCACCATGGACCAGAGCGGGATGGAGGATCCTGTGACCCTCGTCATTAAGGCACCGAATCAGAAATACAGTGACCAGACCATTAGCTGCTTCTTGAACTGGACCGTGGGGAAACTAAAAACGCACCTCTCTAACGTGTACCCTAGCAAACCAGTAAGTGTCTGACAGCTGGGCCCGCCGCCGGCGCAGCCGCCTGCCCTGGGCTCCCCACCCTCACCCCCCGCCCCCATCAGGCTGGTAGACTGGGAGGTCTTGTGCGTTCCGAAGTCGTGTGCTGTGCGTCTCTTGAGTGTCCGAACCACCTTCAGTATCTTCCTGATGAGGTTCAGGTCATTAGTAAGAGTTTACAGAGATATCAAGGGCCGTAGGAATTGCAGGCAGGCATAAAAAAAGACCATTTTCCTTGGACTAAAAGTCATCAACCTAATATGGGATGACAGATGCATTCTTTAAAAAAAAAAAGTCACTACAATTCATGTTAAAGCTGCTATGGCTTATTAGACTAAAATTTCTCTTTACTTTCAATACTGGCCCAGGAAGTTGCTCACCAATGTTGAAGAGCAAATGTTTCTTTTCTTGGAAATAAGTTATGTACCCCTATAAAAGTTACATGTTCAAGACTAGTATATATCTTCTAAGAAGCAAAGAAGTATGAGTTTTAGACTCACATTCCTCTGCTCCTCCCTACCTCCCTCATTTTTCTGCTGTACCAGGACCCAGACATTTCACTGATTTGGAAGAGAACAATTCTCCCACCTCCTCCACCATTTGGTGCATTTTTTTATTCCCTTCATTTGGCCACTTGTAAATCAGTGTGGCAGTGTTTTCCATTCTGAATCATATCTGGATATTGCAAAGATAATAAACAAAATACAGAGTACAGCTCCATCTGTCCCCAAAGGTAGGTTTGAAAGGACATAGTTGGTAATTATGTCTTGATAAGTAAAGAAAGCATGTGATCCACATCCAGATGTTGATGAATTAGGACTGTTTTGGCGTTACTGTACTAAGTGTAGTTTTAGATTTCTGAAAGAATTACAGAAATCCTGCGGTTATTGCAAGAATAGGAGGTTTAGAAAAACATTTCTCAGTTGGCATTAGCTGTGTTTGTCAGCACCTTGTGATACAAATATTTTTAATACAGGAAATAAAAACCCAGAGGTATTTAAGGACTTGGAACAAACTAACTGGAACTCTCATTTATTCACATCTTTTGTTTTAAAGTTAAAGTTTACACAAGGGGTAACAATTTGTTTTAAAAACTTATGCTTTAGGAAAGATTTCCTATTGCATGTGATTCGTTTTTGCACAATTTCGAAGTAGAAAATAGCTTTTCAGAACAGTCAGAATTTAAAGTCATAGATTTCCATAGTACTGTTCATAACATAGTCTGAATACCGTTCCTAAGTAATACACGTCCCAGTACATACTCTCAAGTATGTACTTAAGTGAGGTCCTTTATATTATATGATTAAACCAAGTCAAAAGGAACTCGGTTTGCACTCTGATAAACCAAGAGTTCTTGCTTTTCTAAAACTTTCTCTTTTTTGAAGACTCTAAGTGAGGAATGTGAAGCGGCCTTACCTGCGCCCTCCCAGCGCTCACCTGTGCAGGCTGCCAGCGCTCACCTGGGCGGGTCAGCTGCTGGAGACAGAGCAGTTACAAACTTCTTCACACCCCGCCCTCCTTATCTGCCTGCTGCCTGGAGACTCTCGCAGGCTGTAGCGTGATATGCAACCTAGTAATTGCCTGACTGCCTAGTTTTGTGGCAAACCTGACATTTTTCCTCCTCCAGCAAGTCGTCTCCAACTGAATTGCATTATCTGAAGGTTATTTCTGGGTTAATGAGAGTGGGTGGGCCTTGGGGGAGTCACATGTGTTTATTTTCATAGAACTTCACTGAAAACTTCGTATGGTCATTGGACTTGACAGGCTTACAGTCTAACTTAGTTATCACATGAGAATTTGAAGTTTCACTGTTGTTAAACAGACCAACTGTTAAATAATACCCCAAAGCCATAGGTAGTCCTCAGTCTAGGGAAGTGGAGTTCCAAAAGTTTTCTTTGTCAGGCTGTTATTTAGAACAGAGAACATTTTGCAACATAAGCAATGTTACATGACAACTTAATACATTACACAGGAAGTTTAGGTTCTTAGGACCACCCACGGTGATTACTTAACGTTGATTCTGTGTGTAAGTGTCTCAAGTTCGCTTTGGTGTTTAACAGAGGTCATTTTTATGCCTGGTTCTGTGCACATCTGCCTGCTGGGGTGGGCGGGCTTGGCAGCAGAGTGGGGTTCCAGTGCCTTGGAGAAGCACTTGTCCCCCAGTAAGAGGTAGAGGAGTTGACGCCTCTGGTCAACGCCGCTCTTTGCTGGGTGTGATGGTTCACTGGTAGGTGGAAGGCCTTGGTCCCTGTTGGCGGTGGCCTGTGGGAAAATAAGTGGAAGCTGATGGAGGGAGAAGAATGGATACTTGAAGTTGTTCCTCTTAGGATCTCTACAGAGATAGGTCATGTGTCTACACACTATTAATGGGATTCAGCAACAGTGTGTAAAATCTTAAAATTCTAGTTTTAACAGATTCTGGCTTGACTTAATCATAGATAATCTCCACATGGATATTTTAAATTCAATAAACTCGCAACAGATAAACTACCCCCACCCAAGCACACTTTCTTGGGCTTCATTTATTGACTTTAATTTGGATTTTATTGATGTGGCATTTGAATGTCTGTATGCCAAGCATGAAAGGCATGGTAAGAGTCCCTTGCTCTTATGAAGCTGAGGTCTAGTGGGGGGATACAGAGGTGAAAGAAAATAACTAATATTATGGAAATGGTGTTACAGAAAGGGGTGTACTGAGTGTGGCAGAAGCACAGGGAAGGAACAGTCAACTCGGGTCCAGGGTCCAGGGTCCAGGTATAGCTGTTTTAAGAAGAGGTTTGTTCACAGGGACATTTTTCTTAGCATTGGTAACAGTTTTAAGCATATAAGATGAAAGCTTTTTATTTTTTTTAAAAAAATATATTTTACTGATTTTTTACAGAGAGGAAGGGAGAGGGATAGAGAGTTAGAAACATCGGTGAAAGAGAAACATCAATTAGCTGCCTCCTGCACAGCCCCCACTGGGTATGTGTCCACAACCAAGGTACATGCCCTTGACTGGAATCGAACCTGGGACCCTTGAGTCCGCAGGCCAACGCTCTATCCACTGAGCCAAAACGGTTAAGGCAAGATGAAAGCTTTTTAAAAGCCTGTTCTCTCAGAGCTCATGTTGCACTGATTCTAAGTACTTTATATACTTTACTAGAGGCCCAGTATACAACATTCGTGTATTAAGTGGGGTCCCCCTCAGCCTGGCCTGCACCCTTTAGTAGTCCGGGAGCCCTTGGGGGATGTCCCACTGACATCCTAAGCCACAGTTGGACATCCTTCCCACCACCACCACTGTGCTTGCCAGCTGTCAGCTCGTCTTGTGGCTGAGCAGCGCTCCCCCTGTGGGAGCGCACTGACCACCAGGGGGCGGGGCAGCTCCTGCATTAAGTGTCTGCCCCCTGTTGGTCATCGCGTGTCATAGGAACCTGTCATTCTGCTGTTTGGTTGATTTGCATATTACCCTTTTATTATATAGGATTACTTAGTGTGATAATACATTGTAAAAAAGATTATGGATCCATAATGGGCTACACAGGGGAAGGTGTTTTCCTGGTTGGAAGTAAGGCAGTTGCCATATTTATGCAAACATTACAAAGTCATTATTAACAACCTCAGACATGGAATTGAGCTCTTTGGAGTTTTGCTTAACTTTGAATGGTATTGATTATTGGTTTAGAACTGGGAAGTGTACCAATTCATGTTGATAGTGTATGTAGATATTATTCTAATAAGACATTTGTCGTCACTTCAGGACTTTAGATTTTGAGATCCTGAAATTTTGGTAATTGCTACGAAGGGGTGAAGCTGCCTGTGAGGAAGGCCCCTTTTACCTGAGTAGTTTCAGACTTCTATGTAGCTTATAGATGTAAATATCAAAGTGGTTGATCTCCATATTATCCAGTAGAATGCACTGTCCTGGAGAAAACTTGAAAAATAAGAATCTCTAAACCCATTAGGCACCTTTCTCGTTATCTCTCTCATTCTTTTACTCTTCTCATACGTACATAATTACTAAGATGGACCTGGCTCACAGTGAATTCAGTTTTGAATGCAAACCTTCCTGGAGCTTGTATGCCTGGCTTTCCACTTTTCAGTGTTGAGGTCGAACGCCTGCCGAACATGCCCCTCAGTACAGGGTAGATTTCCTGTGTCTTGGTGCTTCAGACTGTTACAGCAGTCAGTTTCTTACCTAGGCCTTCCAGCTTTCCTGCTCAGCTAGGGAGGTTTGTGCTGTTTTTCAAATTGTTCCTTCACTCTGAGATGCTGTTAGAAATAAAGAAAACAGGAATAGAACCAGCTGTGTAAGTTCTATTTCAGAACCAAATTGCCTACAATTGAGATGGACATCTGACTTTATTATCGGTGAAAATAGCTTGTGTAATATAATTTGAGGTTATGTCTCTTAATTTTGTAATTCCCCATTATCTTATTTAGGCAGGTCATTTAAAAATCTTATCTGCTTAACCACCTCTGAACTGATTCAAAGGGGCTGTAATCCATGCACATTTAAAAAAAAATTATAAGACAATTATCATAAAATTTTAGTACATAGGTTTAAGAGGGTTTCATGTCACATAGTATAGTTCACATTTTTAAAACTTTATTAAATTGAGTGTGAAGGCTGATGAAAAGTTAAAAGTTTCGAATGAATGTGGGTTAAAATTTGTTTTATGTAATTCCTTTGTAGCCTTTTCCTAATGTCTTTATGGGAAAATAACAGTACAAGTTTGTTTAATCATGCATCGGTGCTTTTTAAAATAGGATTTTTCCAGAACTTCAGTTTATGTTTCTCTCCTTTACATAATAAATGCATACTAATTTTTAAAAGGTTTTATTTAAAAAAGAAAAGATTTTTTTTTTATTGATTTTTAGAGAGAGAGGAAGGGCGGGAGAAGAGACAAACGTCAGTGTGAGAGTGGAACAGTGATCGGCTGCCTCCTGCGAGCCCCTCTTGGGGATCAGGCCCAAAAGCTGGGCATGTGCCCTGACTGCAATCGAACGGCAACGTTTTTGGTGCAGGGGCAATGCCCAACCAACTAAGCTACACCGGCCAGGGCAGTACATACTCATTTGATGGCCTCAAATGCTTTTATTTAACTATTATAGCTGTATAACTAAATAATAGTTAACTACTATTTAACTATATTAACTGCCATTTACTAAGTGGTTACGGTGTGTACCAGATATTCTGCTGAGCACTTTATCTGTTTTATCACATTTATTCCTTAGAGATACCTTATGATGTTAAGTTTTATTATTAGCTCTTTTTTTTTTTTGCCCAAGTTCATAGAATTCTATGTAGATATTATTCTAATAATAATAGTAGAATTTGAATTTTAGGGACTTGGCCATCTCAATTGTATGCTTGCAAATTAAAAGAACTATAAAAAGAGGTGTATGTGTTTAGATGGTTTGTCATTTAACGGCTACAGGTGAATGGGTTGCATAACCTTAATACTGTTCTAATGCATCTCAACTTAGAGTATGGTTACTTCTGCTGATTTTGATAAATGAGGGGAAGATGGGGGATATACTCTCTTAAGACCTCAAAGCACATTGCTTTGCCCTATCTTAAGCAAAAATACTTGGGTGACGTCTTTGGTAGTGCTTGTTTGTGTGAACCATAGCAGGCATGTACTTTGGCAGTCCCTGCTGTATCTATACCTGATTTGTGCCTGGCCTGTGAGTGGAAACAGTTAAGCAGGGAATGTCCCTGTGGAGTTCTAGAGGAAATTCTTCTGTAAGCTCTGTGTGCTGGTGTTGCTTACAGTTGTTGCAAGGAGATAAGGTTTAGAGACAGTTTGGGTAAACTATGCTTCCATTTATAGTGTTTGTGAATTTCCTGGGGCTTTAGGTGGGCTGAATCTAGTGGGAGTGGGAGATACGTTCCAGTACAGATCCGCAGCACTCATTTCCCACAGAAAAGATGTTTTGTGCATGTCTTGGGAACCAGCTCTTCAAAGCTATTTGACCCTTGTGACAGCTGTATGCAAGTAGTACTGAAATGTTAACACCTACCACTCTCAGAGGACTCTGGTCATCATTCTTTGAACTAACATATAAGTTGTAGATTGCTTTTACTGAGCTATTTGATTATTTTGAAGTTGGATATACTAAGGACATGCTTTGTTAAAGCCATGCATAATTATGAGAGACTCATTTAGTTCTTCACATAAAAAATTTAAACTTTTGATACCAACTAGGTCACTTCTAGAAATGTAAAGTATTGCTGACTTTGTAAAAGTCAACTACCAAACTCTTGTGAATATTTGAAATCCATTAGGGATGCATATAGTACTTTATCTGTTTTTGATGTCTGACTAAATGTGGAGAAGTCAGACACTTTAGATAATAATATGTAACTCTTTTAGAAAGAGAAAAGTCTTTCCCCAATTTAGGATTTATCTTTGCATTTTTGACTAGCCGCGAGCTTTCCTCACCTTGGTTTGCTTAGTGGGTGGCAGAGTTTTGGGGTCAGCTGGTCAAGCAGCTGTGCATTAGAGTGGTGTAGTTCTCTCTCTGCCTGTTCGGACCACCATCAGGATGTTTCCAGCTTGGTAATTTAGATGGCCATGCAAGCGCTGGGGAAGGATATGCAGGTAGGGTGTCTGAGTCAGGAAGGAGCTTAGCTTTTTGGAGAGCTAAGTGAACGCCAGTTTGGCTGGTGAGTGAGGAGGAAAGAATACCATCAGAGGAGGTTGGAGAGAGACAGAAACCAGATCTGCTGGGACTGTCTGGCAATGGTAAGGCATTAGATTTACACCCAGTGTGGTGGGAATCCAGCCGAGGGACAGGGTTGACTTACACTTTTAAAAGGTGTTTCTAACGGTACTCCTCTCCTTTTCTCTCAGAGCCATCCCAAATAAGTTTTTACCCTATTGTCCACCGAGATTGCTTTTATTAAGACCACTAGGGTTCTCCATGTTGCAGGATACTCTGAGGGAGTACAGAAATAAATAGTATGAATGAGTTACACTGTGAGTAATAACAAAAGCCTGCAACTACTCAAATACCCATTAATAAATGGTAGCATTTCTATGTAATGGAGCATTGCGAACTGTCAAGACGAATGGGGAAGACATCCTAATACTGCTGAGGCATGATCTCCAGGTTATGCTAAGTGGGAGGACAAGGCACAGAATATTAGGTAGAGTGTACTAGCTTTTATGTGAGAAAAGAAGGGAGATACTTGTTTATATTCAGATTTGTTGTGTTGTTAAAAAGAAATGGTGGAAGGGAAACTTAAAATTGATGTTTCTATCTCTCTCCCCTTTTCCCTTCCTCTCTCTGAAGTAAATAAAAGCATACTTTAAAAAATTAGGGAGCGAACAGGGACAGAAACTAAACCTCTCTGAACATATCTCATTCTATAATTTTTACTCTGTTGCCATATAATTTAAAAAATTCAGTAGAAAAAAGTAATCCTTAAATGGCAGCACAATAATTTAGTAACTTAATGTCAGGATGGTGACATAACTGCAAGAGGAATTATCCCAAGTAATTTTGAAACAATATTTCAACTATGTATTTCTAGTGGGATATATGTAAGGACAGAAGAAAGCCACAAGACATGGTAAACTTCATCCAATATTGTTACTCTTATTTTGAGATTGTATATAGTAGGATAAAGCATATAAGTAAGTTTGCTGATGGCAAATTTTGTTTGTTAATGTCATTTGGAAATTTGGTAATTATCTCTATTATATCTATAATAAATATGCTACCATTTGCTGAGCTCTTAATGTCTTAAGTGGAATTTGGAAAAACAAAATTCTTAAAATATGTCAGTTTTCTGCTTATTTGTGCCTAAAGGGAGTTTACTTTGCCCATATTTAGGCATGTTATTCCCAACCTTTATTTTGTATAATTAGAAAAGTTGAATTATTTTCTTTGTCCCATTTCTTAGTTGACGAAGGATCAGAGATTGGTGTATTCGGGCAGACTGCTTCCCGATCATCTGCAGCTGAAAGACATTCTCAGAAAAGTAAGCAGATTTCTACCACTACTCGATACCAGACACAGTCAGAGTGTGAGTGGAGAGTTGTTCTGAAATTTTATCAATATCCAACCAGTTCAGTTTTCAGATACTTAAAATCAACCCTTTGGGTAGCATAACATGTAAACATGAGCTAGGAAGTAAAAAACATAATGATAGATTCCAGTTAGTTTAGGTGGCAGTTTTGTATATCTGTTTGATAGCTAACTAAGATTACATAATGTGTTCAGGTGATTGGCATTTTGTGTAGGAAAACTCTATCAACGTACCAATAGTGCAGGAGTGGAGAGTTCAAGGAGTGGTGCAGGATTTTCACTGAGGACAGTCTCCTCTCCTATATCCCCTTTGATCAAACTGTATGACATTTTAATACAAGTTGCTTGGGTTAGGAGTTTAATTTCAGGGCAAGAAATAGAAGGAAGCCCAATTGGGCCATCAGCTAGCAACCTTGAAGGCTGGTGCTTAGAGCTAAAATATATTTCAGTGTAGCTTTTTGATAATCAGCTGGAATACTGTTTTTTTTTTTAATGGAAACTTTTAATATGATTATTTGTGGAATTTATACTTTTATAACTTTTCTGCATTTGTGACGCTACATTTTGGTTGTGAATATATAGCTTTGATACTTTGCTGTAGATCTTTGACTTAACTCTTAATGTTGTCTGGACCGATTTAGGAAATCTGCATCCTCTCCTTTTGTTTATCCGCATCAGGGAAACTAAGACATTTTATACCAGCATATTCCTCCTGTTCAGATAGATGACGTTTTCACTCTGCCAGTGTGACTTCTTGCTGTCATTTTCATTTTAACTATGTAGTTTCAGTTTGCCAACGTGGTTTAATAACTTCTTTCTCTCTCAAAAATAGTGGAATTTGCAGCAGGTTTTCTCTCTTTTTAATAGACTATTTTTAAAGACAGTTTTAGGTTCATAGCAAAATTGAGTGGAAAGTACAGAGATTTCACTTACACTCCCTGCTCCCACACATACACAGATCCCCCCCCCCCCCCCATGCACAGGCTCCCCCACAACAACATTCCATATTAGAGTGGAATATTGGTTACAGTTGATGAACCTACATTATTGACACATCATTATCACCCAAATCCTGTGGTTTACATTAGGGCTCCCTCTTGGTGTACATTCTGTGAGTTTGGACAAACGTATAATGACATGTATTCACCATTATAGTCTCGTACAGAATAGTGTCACTGCCCTAAAAATCCTTAGTGGCACACCTGTTCATTTTCTCCATGTTTTTATGCTTAAAAACATTGCTGCTGTATACTCTTTAAAGTAGATGTTTATTTTATTATTTTAACCCAAAGATAGCTAGTTTGCACTGGACTGTTTTTAAAAAAGTTCTTGCTGCCAGAAATGGTTTCTGACCAGAAGACTTAAAATAAAAATGTTTCAGTCGAAGGACTGTTGGCCTCTTATACAAAACATTTTGAATAATATGTTTACATTATGAATAGATCTTTGAACTGTTTTTGTTAAAGTCAGTGAACCACTTCTTTTTTTCAATTAAATGCTGCCATTAGCTTTACCTACTTAGTTATAAAATGTTTTACAGGAACATTCCCAAAAGGTGAACAAATGCTATAGTTAATTTGATTAGTATGACCTTTGAAACTAGGTTTCTAAGGGCAAATATCTTATACTTGATGCTTTTTAATGCTCTGTGTTTTGAAGCTACGGGGGAATATTGTAAATCAGGAGTGCCTTCTGTCTACCTTACTGGGCACATCTCATATCAGACTATCTCTGCAAGTTCCTCCTCTTAGCATTCTACTAGCAACCCCCATTAACTTCTTTCTTTAAGCTCCTAGAGCTGGTAGTTTGTGCTCCTCCATCTGTGCAGAAGACTGTTTCGCATAGTTCTCTAATTGTGCTCTAATGCACGCGTCTGATCTTCTAACAGTCTCATGAGCCTCCTATGGGGAGGGGCTGACTCTTACCTTTCTGGGCTTCACCTCAGAATTCGGCACAATTCTAGATTTATGGTTGGCAGTGGGTAAATTCTTAGTTTCCAGTAGCTTTGTTTCTCTTTCTCACAACTGGGCATCTTCCTTGTCTTCCTGCCCCTTTCCTTTATCATACTTCATTTTTTCTTTTCTTTTTATGAGTTGCTGAGCTATCCTGTGTGCTTCTCTGCCCTTCTTTATTCTCTTTCCTTTCTCTGTCTTATTTGCTTGCTTCATGCCTAAGTATAAATCTACTCATGTAATTGCTAAGCTAAAATGTCATTCCTAATCATTTCTAGAATTTTTTCCTTCATAGTTACAGGTTTATGGAAACACATGAAATATTTATAGAATATAGTTCAAACATATGCTTTTACTTAAATATAAGTATTATTTTTTTTTATTGATTTTTTTTTACAGAGAGGAAAGGAGAGAGATAGAGATAGAGAGGTAGAAACATCGATGAGAGAGAAACATCGATCAGCTGCCTCCTGCACATCCCCCACTGGGGGAGTGCACGCAACCCAGGTACATGCCCTTGACCGGAATTGAACCTGGGACCCTTCAGTCCGCAGGCCGACGCTCTATCCACTGAGCCAAACCAGTTCCGGCTTAAATATAAGTATTATTGATAAAACCAGATTTTGACTTAAAAAAAACAACACACCTATACATCACCTTGCTAAAATTAAGGCAAATGAGATTATGGTGAAATTATTTGAGTTTCTTTATTATAGTTGCAAAGTCTAAGTCATGAAAATGTTTTTGCTTCTCAAAGTTTGCAGGGCTAAGCCCCAGCGACTATTGCCGTTCTGATATTAAGGTGCTAGATGTTTTTATATTGAAATAATAGGTTGCATGACACAGCTTTACAGCACTGTTTGCTTCAAGACTCCTTTGTATACAAAGTAATCGGTTTTTTTTGTATAGCAATTACTGAGTGTTTAGACCATTTTCCAGGCATGGAGAAAAAGTAGAATTCAGAAGGGCTCCAAATTCTAAAATGGTAAATTTACTTCCAAATGACAACGATTTCTTACTAATAAATGGCTATGCCAGAAAGGAACTTAAGTTTTGAGTCAAGTATTTCAGCTTAGTTGCTATTGACATTTTGACTGTACATTTCCAGTACTACCCTTTCAATGTGACCTTCTTTACTTTTAGCAAGATGAGTATCATATGGTCCATCTAGTGTGTACTTCCCGGACTCCTCCTCCCAGTTCTCCAAAGACCAGCAGCAGTAGAGAAGGTCGCGAAGCGTTGGCATCCAGCAGCAGTTCTGTGAGTTGTGTGGGAGGAGTAAATGATGATTTCTCATTATATTTCTTTTGCTTCTAAAAATTAATTAAAAAAACAAAAAACAGATCAGTTGGAGCTTGTGGGTTGTGAGATGGTGTTTTGAGTTAGGGATTTAAACCTTGTTTTTAGAAGTCCATTATACAGTGTTTTCCCTCGAAGGCTGTTCCCCTGTATGCAGGTCAGTAATAGTCAGGAGTTTAAGTACTAAAATACCAAGAAAACAGGATTATGATATGTTATATAATATAAACTCCAAGGCCAGTAAAATTTCAGAAATAAGGTGTTGAATATAGTATATTTTATTCAAGGTAGATTACTTTATTTCAGTTTTAAATATGCTAAATCCTCTTGAAGTAGATTGCTTGGTCAAGAATTTTATTTCATTTTTAAAGATTTTTATTGATTTTTAGAGAAAAAGGAAGTGGGGAGAGAGAGGGAAAGAGGGAA